TGTGTGTGTGTGTGTGTGTGTGTTTTGCTGTGCCTCACACTTGGTCAGTGCTCTATTGCTGAAGCCATACTTCCAGTCCAGATTTTTTTGCTGGTTAATTGGAGAGAAGAATCTCACAAGCTTTTCTGCATTGGTTGGCCCCCAACTATGACCTCAGATCTCAGCCTCCTGAGTAGCTAGGATTACAAGTGTGAGCCAGGGCACCCAGCTTCATGCAGTTTTAACACCTATCCAAAATGTCCCTCTACTCACTCTGTCTTCTCCTCTTTCATGGTCTCCAAAGACACATCGTAGACTGTATTATTTTGCCTTTTGTGTGTGTGCTTGAACTCAGGGCCTGGACACTAGTCCTGGGGCTTGAACTCAGGGCCTGTCACAGAGGTCCGTAGTCCCTTCTGAGGCCCCCATGGGTAAGTCCGCAGGCCCTGCCCTTTGATAGATGACCCCTGATGGGCCTGACACGGTGTTTCGGATGTTTTTCCCAGAGCCTCTGCTCACCTGAACATAAGATCCTTGGGGACCACCTTCTGCTGCTGCTTCTGATTCCTGGAGGGGAAAAGGATTCTGGGACATAAGGTTCAGAGCATAAGGCTGGGACCAGAGGTCCTCCCCTCTCCCTGCCGGCGGCAGCCTCCAGGTGGCAGGCCTGCAATGAGTCTCACCTCTTCCTCAAGAAGAAAATCAGGAGGCCTACCAGGATGAGAAACAGGAGGACACCCACAATGGCTCCCGCAATGACCCCTGGGAGGAGGCATAGGAAGCCCTTAAGAACCCAGGTCTTTATTATCTTCCCAGTACTGAGACTTGAACTCACAGCCTGGGCACAATCCCTTAGCTTTTTCATTCAAGGCTGCCACTCTACCACTTGAGCCACAGCTCCACTTCTGATTATTTTGCTGGCTAATTGGAGACAAAAGTCTCATAGACTTTCCTATCCAGGCTGGTTTTGAATTGCAATCCTCTGATCTCAGCCTCCTGAGCAGTTAGGATTATTGGTAGAAGACACTGGCGCCTGGCTGCATCGTATGTTTAAGTGGGTGTCTTGTGCTGGGCATCGGTGGCTCATGCCTGAAACCCTAGCTACTGAGGAGGCTGAGATCTGAGGATCATAGGTCAAAGCCAGCCCATGCAGAAAAGTCCATGAGACGCTTTTCTCCAATAAACTACTCAGAAAAAGCAGGAAGTAGTGTTGTGGCTCAAGTGGTAGCACACTAGCCTTGAGCACAAAGAGGCTGGGGGACAGTGCCCAGGCCCTGGACAGGCAAAAGCAAGGAAGGAAGGAAGGAAGGGAGGGAGGGAGGGAGGGAGGGGGAAGGGGGGGGAGGGAAAAGAAAAGAAAAAACAGAAAACCAGAGACAGACAGCCCTATGGACTCACACAGGAAGGTTCTCTGCTCACCTGCACGCTCTGTGTAGCAGGTGAGAGGGGCAGATTGGGCCCTTAATCCACTCCAGGTGGTGGTGACAGTGGTGGGGTAGGATTGAGCCGGCCCAAGACCTGACACAGTCACGCCCTTCCCACACGAAGACCGGTCCTGGGAGGCCCGATGCCCACCCACCTCCAACTCAAAGGCCTCGTAGCCCCCAGTGGGACAGGACCAGGTCACGACCATGGCGTAGCCTCCTGAGGTGCTCAGGCAGGAGATGATGGTGGCGGCATCGGGGGCTGGTGAAGGAGGCAGCGGGGTCGGCAGGCGCCTTTGAAGGTCCCCTAGCCACCCCATCCCGCCTGTCCTGCCAAGCCTCAGAGCAGTCCCCTGGCCTCTGTGACCGCAGCCTAAGAAGAGGAAACCCTGGGACCTGATGCCCTCTGTGGTCTACCCCTGCCTCCTGTCCTTGCAGGTCTGATGTCGGCCCAGTTACCAGGGATGGGCGGGGTGGGGTCTCTCACCTGTGGGAGCCTGGAGGCTCTTCATGGAACTGAAAATGCCATTTCTCTCTGCCCACACGCTGAAGTTGTACCAAGTGCCAGGCATGAGGGCATCTGCCACATACCAGGTGTCATTGGTCCTGCCTGTTGAACTGCCCCAGGGCCCCTGGGGCTCTTGCGTCCTGAGAGGGTTTTCTTGACCAGCCCAGTGAATCCAGTAGGTGTAGAGCTGGGAGTGGGGGTCCACAGGGGCCTCCCACCTCAGGGTCACCGAGTGATTGGTCTGTCCTTCCTTCTGCAGCAGTGTGACCTCACTGGGGGCTGCAAAGCAAGGACAGAGCTCTAAGAGGGTGTGTCCTCAAAGAACCACCCAGAGCCTTCTCACCAGTCCCCACACCCCAACAGCACGGCCACCATGCCCCACTTATCTCTGCTCTAGCAACAGAGGCAGGAGCCCCAAGAAGAACCAGCAAACCCAAGGGAGATGCCAAGAACCCACAGCTCATGCCTAGAATCCTAGCTACTCAGTAGGTATATCTGGCAATCGTAGTTCACAGGGCAGACAAAGCCAAGAGCTTCTTATTACCAGTTAACCAGCAAAAAATTAGAAGTGGAAGTATGCCTTAAATGGTAAAAGAGTACCAACTTTGAATTGAAAAACTAAACAAGCATGTGAGAGCCTTGAGTTTAAGCCCCAGTCCCAGAAGAGGAGAGAACAGAGTGAGGAGAGGAAGGAAGAGAGGAGAGGGGAGGGGAGGGGAGGAAAGGGGAGGGAAGGGGAGCTCAAGGTCTAGTGGAGATCAGAATCAGAAGAGTTCACTCAGTCCCCTGGCTCTAGTGCTAGGTCTCAGGTCATCCCTTTCTTCCTCTGCCGGCATAGACACAAGTCCCCCCCCAGACTACAACCCCATGAAGCCATGGACTCTCTGAATCAACAATTTCACAAAGGCCTGACCCCCATCATGGCATCATGGGATTTGTAGTCCACTCAGCTCAAAGTCTGACTATCTTCATCTCCCAGGGTCACCCAGGGCCAGAATTCTTTTTTACCCTAGACACACCAAGGTGGTAGAAGATGCTGTACATTGTAGTTTCCTCAGCCGGCCAAGGTCCAGGAATCCAGGCTTCCAGGTTCCTGAGAGGGGGGACCAACTCCTCCCGAACCAAAAGAACCCATTTCCAAAGACCAAAAAAAAAAAAGCCAGGTGCTGGTGGCTCACACACTAGCTATTCAGATGACTAAGATCACAATTCAAAGACAGCCCAGGTAGGAAAGGCCCTGAGGCTCATCTCCAATTAACCACCAGAAAACTGGAAGTGATGCTCTAGCTCAAGTGTTAGAAGACTAACCTTGAACAAAAAGCTTAGGGAACCAGGCACCTGTGGACTACACCAGTAATACTAGCTACTCAGGAAGTTGAGATCTGAGGATCAAGGTTCAAGCTGGCCCGGGCAAAAAAGACCATGAGACTCTTATCTCTAATAAACCAGCAGAAAACCGGAAGTGGTACTGTGAGTAAAGTGGTAGAGTGCTTGCTTTGAACTCAGGGACAGCACCCAAGCACAGAGTTAAAGCCTCATGACCAAAAAAACAAAGAGAAAAGAACAAAAAGGAAGAACAAAGGAAAAAAGAGGCCTGTCACCATTGGTAGAGCACTAACCAATGACTGAAAGTAACAAGTACTGAGTTCAAGACTTGCTTTGGACCAGATAAAAGAAAAGGCAGAAAGAGGAGAAGAAGAAGGAAACAAGGGAAGGTGGACAGAGAAAAAAGGAGAAAGATGAAGGAAAGAAAGGAGAAATAAAAGAAGGAGAGAAATGAAGAGACACAAGAGGAGAGAGAAAGAAGGGAAAGAGAAAAGATGGAAATGACAGGGGAGGAGAAGAAGGTATGGAGGAAGAAAGGGGGAAAGGAAACAGGAAAAGGGAAGAGGATATGGGATGAGAGGGAAGAAAAGGAGGGAGGAGCAGCCGCCTCTCACCTGTAGAGACAGTGAGGTTCTCCCTGGAGCTCACAACTCCATCTTTCTCCACCCACACAGAACACACATAGGAAGACCCAGGTTCAAGTCCATCCACGGT